AAATACAAAATTGTGTAAAAGTCAATGGAAGTTTTTTTTGTTTAATTTAGTACGTTTTTTTATTTTTTCTTTAATTTCCACTTATACAAACAGTGATACTCATATCGAATTTTGTATAATTTAGCAAAGTCGGAAAGGATATTCAATTAGAAACTGTTGTTTCACTTAATAATGTCTGTAGTTTTAAATTTATAATTTCTTTCATAATAATCATTTTATTCATTATTAATGCTATTATACCAAAAAATCAAACATCTAATATTTGTTTCCAAATTATAAAATGCACATTGATGCCAGTACATTTCTTTTTAGTGTGGTGCATGTGGTACACAACGATTTTTTAATGCTCCGAGACTGTAAAGTATATTTAGAGACGAGACTGTAAAGTATATTTAGACATAGCAACAGAGTTATTAGTTTAGTCTGATTTTTTATATTTACGAAAATTTTTTTTTTTAGAATTTTTTAAACTCTATATCTCAGATATAAACTCTATATCTCTCGAACACATTCCAATATGTAATTTAGATGTTTTTAACCAAATTTCGGAGAAAACCAATAAATTTTTATTGGAAACAATGCCATCAGTATATAAACTGGTTAATTTTGTATTAAGCTCCCCTTACATTCTGATAGCAAATATAAAATGAGTCATTTAGTATTTTGGCACCGAATCTGGTCTTAGAGGCAAATGAGCTAAATTATCGGATCTCTCCAGTAATTCTTTAATAAGAGCCCAAAAAGGCCAAAATAAAAAAAGATTTTGAAAGAAGATCTACTTTCAGAAAATGCAGATCGGAGTTTATAGCATCTCAAAAAGTAAACTCCCTCAATTTTTCATTTTATATAATAGCTTATGTCATCTGCCGTTATTTCTGTTGCAAACCTTATCACAAATATAATTTTCATGGCGGCAGCCATAGATAATGCTCTTTGGATAGGTTGACTTTTGTCAGTAACAGTCTCGGGACGATCACTAGATATGGGATGTGATAATTCCTTAATGTCATGAATGGATTCTGAGGTTTCCTTGGAAACCTCGCTATCATTACTCATAACCTCAGGATTATTTACTCATTTACTTATACCGCTGTTAATTACCGGAACTGGGTGTGTAACAACACTGACATACGACGGTTTACGCTCAGTCTCAGTTGTATCAGTGATTATAACTGACTGCAAATGTTTTACAAAATTGTAAAAGTCTGCAGAGTGTTTCCTACATTGCACACAACACCAACGAACACCAACATTATTTCTTACTGTGTCTACGACTTTTGCTTTAATCCTAGCACATTTAGCATGTCATTGATTAAGACAAAACCAACAGGTAACACCCAATTCATTCTCGCAACAATATTACACAATTCAAAAGGGAACGTCATTTTATTTATTTTAATCTATATATATAAAAATCAATTGTTGTTTGTTGGTAACGGAATCAGTTGAAAACGGCTGGACCGATTTGCATAATTTTTTGTACAAACGTTTGTCATACCCCGAGTTAGGTTTTTAAAGAAAAAAATATTGACCACGCCTCCTTTTACGCCCACTATTTCGATTTATGTAAAATCCTTACATTTCCCAAATAAACAAGATATTGGTTTAAAAATTATTGCACGAGATACTGTTGACCTTCCCTCCAACCTTAAGTATTTGTTTGGGGGCTGAGGAACTGACCACGCATACTTTTTAATCTATCTATACATCTATATATATAAATGAAGTTGTGTTAGTTACTACGCTTATAACTTAAGAACCGCTGAACTGATTTTACTGATTCATTCAAATTCGGAATTGTCTCCTATCCGAAAAGAATAATATACAAAAAAAAAATCACGTAAAAATGTGATTTATTAACACTTTCATTTTGACTTTTGAAATGTACAATAATAATGTTTTATTTTGCATGATTTTTTCCATTTTGACTTACTTTTTTCTAATGTACATTTGTAGTGTTTTTTATATTTTACTAGCTGACCCTGTCCGCGTTGCCGGCCCGTAGTTTTAGTCTATTATGCATATTTGTCAAAGCATAATTATTCAAAGATATGACTGTTATAAGTGTTCATGTACTGGTCGATTAATTTTTAGTTTTTAGTCAAATGAGCAGTAATTTGGAATTTACTGTATTTTGTACACCTCATAATTGAGGGCTGAATGATTTAAGAATAGCCAAAGTTAATTACTTTTTTAAACCCATTAACACCTCAGATTGTGCATTAGAGTTCTCATAAGTCCGCCAAAAGGTGGACTTGTGGGGGTACTATTACATGGAGAAAATTCTAAAATTTGTAGATATGTTGAAATTTTTGTGTACGATTTTCACCCCCCCAAATACACATTTTTAGCCAAATCCTTTGAAATAAGGTAAAATCAGGAAGTACCTTCATATGGGCACTACTGCGAAACATCGACCTACATTGAAAACTTTCTTCACCCCTTATAATCCAAGATGACAAATAGAGGCCAAATCGAAAATATAGCAGAACAACATAGCATGTCAAACTGAAAAAAATTCACGTGATTTAAATAAGTAAAAATAATTTTATCCATCTTATAATTGAGGGCAGACTGATTTCAGGATAATCAAATATAATTACTATTTTACTCCAATTACCGTATGATGAGAACTAATTTTATTTGTCATTTAAATTGTAAATTGGAGACGCCATAAAGTCCATATTTTTCATCATAGTATAATTCAATGACGATTCAACAAATATTCGGTCCCGTGCTACTTTCTTATATTTATAATTTGTTCTTGTTTTTCACAATTTATTTGATTTGGGATGTACATCTATATCTACGTTCCCAACCAATATTCTCTTGGGGGTTACAAATTCAATAGAATACAAAATTTTCTTTTCTGACCACACATTAGATGTGAAAGTGGACTTGGGATACTCCAATGAGGGGACTTTACATGAATAAATTTCTATGTGGCAATTATCTGTACGATGGTTCCTTACGCCAGAGTAGCATAAATACAATTTTTTAGTGGTCAAGATCAATATGGGCCCTTCCGAGAATTTTCTACTCCCTTAGAAACAAAGATCTTTGGCCAAAAATAGAAGAAAATGACGAAGACTTCAAAAATAGCTTAAATCATACAATGGTTATTTATGATCGATATCATATATCATATTGCAGGTCATACAAAAGCGATTTAAGGTATCTTAAATGTTCGGGAAGAATTTTTGGAAGGATAGAAATCCTTTTCTTACTAAAAGTCCCATTCGCTCTACTATTTTGCACCCTTTATATTTGGTACTTTACTGATTGTAGTCCCAAAAATTTTTGCATTTTGAGCTCTCATTGGACGGATTATTGTCACATGAAAGAAGTAGGTCCGCTCTTTGAAATGAGCCCCATTAGTCTTTTTCGGTCATTTTTGTTTGTTTAAATGTCTGCGCATCTTCCAGCTGAAGCACGATGTAGGCCCTGGAGTTGAAAGGTAGATGTCAGTTAACATCGTATTTCGCACTTATTTTATTTTTTGGTGAAAAATTGTATATAGTGAAAAATTATTCTTTATTTCGTTCACAAAAAATCCACTGAATTCAATACGATAATACAAATTGAAAAAAAAAAAAATGACAAAAGAATAATAACAAATTGAAAAAATCTTCAACTTGTTCGCTGATTTTTTACAGCAACTGTTTAAAGATCCTTACAAAGTTTGTCAATAGAATGTACTTTTATTTTAAAATTCAATTCCATTGGACATTTTTTTCGATATTTTCCCGTTTTGAGAATTTTTGTAATGATATCTCCTTTTTCGTAATTTTTTTTTTAGCGATGTTAAAAAGGTTATTATCTTCTAACTTTGGTGTGACCGCGTTAAATTATTTCGATATCATCTATTCCGTTTCGCCACCACATAATTCGGTACTACACTTCCATGTAACCCGTCATCAATTTCAGTTCTCAAGAAATCAAGTCAATTAAATAAATTGATATTAATATTCGAATTCAAAAATAAAATATAAAAAACACTACAAATGTACATTAGATCTGAGGTGTTAATGGGTTTAAAAAAGTAATTAACTTTGGCTATTCTTAAATCATTCAGCCCTCAATTATGAGGTGTACAAAATACAGTAAATTCCAAATTACTGCTCATTTGACTAAAAACTAAAAATTAATCGACCAGTACATGAACACTTATAACAGTCATATCTTTGAATAATTATGCTTTGACAAATATGCATAATAGACTAAAACTACGGGCCGGCAACGCGGACAGGGTCAGCTAGTTATATATATATTTTTTTTTAATTATACAAGTTACAACTATATTTTTTAAGATCAGATCTGTAGCTGGAATTTTTTATTTATCAACTCTTTTGAGATGGCAAACTAACCAAGAAGAATATGTTACAGCAACTAATTAGCTAATGTAACAAAAGAAACAGGGTAAAGAGGAGAATGCAAACTACACAATTTGAAAATTGATATTACTGTAAACACAAAACAAACTTTAAAAATATTAAACACTTTTAGACACTTTTTTTTATCAGATTAATTAATTTAATAAAAGAGATAATTAATAACTTTTTCAAAAGCGCGGAGCACCACAATTTTTGACACTAATCACAACAAGGCTGCCAATCTGATCCACATGTTGAAATGGTCTTAGGATAGATTTGACTTTAATAACTATAATGACAATAAAGAAAACTTGTTGGAAAAATTACTTTTCCTTAATTAGGTTAAAATTACCCACCTGCGGTAAACATTTCAAAATGTTCCGAGCGTAGCCTCTAAACTCAACTTGCCATCTGATGAGTGGATTCAAATTTTTCCGGAGTAATACAAGAAAATTGGTATTTTTGTACTGGAAATTTTTGAAAATCCCCTAAAAATTCGAAAATGGACCCACTATGGGGTTTTAAAAATCTACACTTATATTGATATCTCTTGTAGTTCCGAAGATATTCGTGATGCAATTCATGAAATTGATGTCTTCTTCTCTAATATGTATCTAACCTTTATAGTTCCGAAGATATTGACTTTAAAATCAAACTCCGGCTATTTCCAAAAGTTATAAAGCTTACAAAAACTATGGATCGCGTAGCCGGTGTTGGACATACCTCAGAGGAGAAAATCTCAAGCCCTGGCCGAAGGCCTGCTACTTACAAAGGTTATAAAGTTTAGAAAATCTATGGATCGCATAGTTGGTGATGGACCTACTTAAGAGGAAGAAAAACTAAAAAACCGGCCGGAGCTACTCAGAAAAGCTAAAAAGGTAAGATAGCGGATTTTATATCCAAACATCCGGGTCGAATATCCGGGTAACCGAGTATTTTCCCCACGAAAAAATTACTTGGCCGCAATCAGACTTAAAATATTTGAAATTGATCCGAGCATAGCCCCAGAACTGATACCCATATCTATTCTAAAAACACGCTTATATTCTGATTTTTTACCCAAACTTCCGGGTCAAAAAATCGGATAAACAATTACGACCGCCGTTACATATTTTTAATCTGGAAGCCAATTTCTATACGTGGCTATAGCTATACTAGGATTAACCGAAACCTTGCATTCATTTTTTTGTTGAAAATCCTAATTTTTTAAATACCGCTTATATTTTTCAATTTAAGTACTTTAATTAAACCACTAATTGACGCTATGTAAAAGTTAAAAATGTTCAACTTTATTTATTCTGATCTTAAAAATATAGTTGTAATTTTTAAAATTAAGAAATATTGATAATTATAAAAAGTAAATAAACAAGTTAAAAAGCAGTAAGTTCGGCCGGGCCGAACTTTGAATACCCTCCACCTTTTGGAACAAATTTATAAATTTTCAAAAAATAAAATTCTTAAAAAATTTTGTTAAAATTTTAAAAATACCAAATATAGCCGTCTATTGGTTTCTATACGACGTGGACTTACATAGGCATTGTTTGTCATAAGCCATTACCATATTCAAATTCGAAACTTGAAATAAACAGTGAATAATGTAGCTAAAATCGTCAAAATATCGCATATAGGGAAGTACCGTTATATCGGAGCTGTGCGAAGACCAGGCACCTGCATAGACAATTATCTGTCACAGGCTGTAGCATCCATTATGAACTTCAAATACCACATCTCAAACAATTTCGATGGGTATTGTACCTAAAATCGTCAAAATACCGAATATATAGGGAGGTACTGATATATGGGGCCAATACGAAGACATGGACCTACATAGACAATTTTCTTTCACAGATTGTAGTTCTCATAACGAACTCTAAATACGTAATTTGAAACAACTCTGATAAATAATGATGCTAAAATCATCAAAATACCGAATATAGGGAGGTACCGTTATATGGGGGCTATAGGAAGACGTGGACATGCACAGACATTTTTCTGTCTTGGACCTGACATTTTTCTGTCTTAGGGTGTAGTATGCATTTCGAACTTCAAATACCAAATTTGAAACAATTCCGGTGAATAATGTCGCTAAAATCATCAATATACCGAATATAGGGAGGTACCGTTATATGGGGGCTATACGAAGACGTGGACCTGCACAGACAATTTTCTGTCTTAGGCTGTTGTATCCATTTCGAACTTCAAATGCCAAATTTAAAACAATTCCGGTGAATATTTTCGCTAAAATCATCAAAATACCGAATATCGGGAGGTACCGTTATATGGGGGCTATATGAAAACGTGGACTTACATGGCACATTTACGAACTTAACCTGTCTACTGGAAAAATAAAGATGGGTGAAAAATTTTAGCCATCTATATCAATTCATTCAAAAGATAGCGTGATTACAACAGACAGACGGACGTAGCTAAATCGACTTAGAATTTTACTCTGATCAAGAATATATTTTGGGTCTGACATGAGTATTTCGAGGATTTACAAACGGAATGACAAAGTTAATATACCCTCCATAGTATGGTGGAGGGTATAAAAAACGCCGTGCCCTTTTGAATTATGTACTATTGTTGCAGAGGATGTATTGTGTGTTACCTGTTGGTTTTGTCTTAATCATTTTTATTGTTTAATTTATTAAATCTTTCATATATTTTAATGAAAACAAATATATTACATACTAATAGTTTTTTTATAGGGAGGTTGTCAATGCAATCAACCTATATCTTTTTCATGCTTTAATTATTAATTATTATTAATTTTATTATTATTTATTTTTTAAGATATAGATGTGTGTTTTTTATGGGCTGGTGGTGTTTTTTATGGGTTATATCCGTGAATTAATTGAGTAGGTAATTCAGATTAGTTTAGATACAGTTATATCTAAGTGAATCGCAGACAACAGGAATAGTCTAACGGATATAATGTTGCTTTGTTTAGATACAGTTATATCTAATCATCCCGCGGACTACAGTAATGGTCATATCGATTTCTTCACTAATCATCCCGCGGACTACAGTAATAGTCTTATCGATTTCTTCACAGAAGCGGCTTCCGTTTTAGCATACTACTACCTGTAGAAGTATAACAGACAAGAGCTGAAAATAATGAGAGAGTAAGACAAACATAAACTATGTGATAGAAAGAGTTCGGATAGTTTGCTTAAGTACTTTCGGCAAAGCTTCTTTATTTTTTCTTCAGCGTTCCTTATGTACCATGGTGCACCTGTAATAGATCGAAGAATATTCGATTGTCTTCTTTGTAGCTTACTTACGTTAGAGGCACTAGCTGTGCCCCAAAGCTGTATGCCATAAGTCCAAATTGGCTTAATTACAGTCTTATATAATAGGACTTTGTATTCTAATTTAATAGAAGAACGTATACCAATTAACCACTCAAGATTGGCCTTTTTTATTAGTTTAATTTGCGTGATTTTTCATCGATGTGTTGTTTCCATGCAGGTCTTCGGTCCAGGTGCATTCCAAGATATTTTACGGTATTTTTCTGTGGAACTTAAGTATTAAAGATTTTTATTGTGGGGCAAAGTTCACGACTTAGAGAAAAGTAACGTGTATGCACTTACTTGCATTTACCGATATTCTCCATTTTGTCAGCCAATTTTCGAGAATATGTACATGGTTTTGTAGTTTTTTCCGACGCTATCATAGGATCCTTGTGTATGCTAATGAATGCAGTATCATCAGCAATTGTTGATTGGTTGATTGTTTCATTGGTTGTGTTCATATCGGCAGTAAATAACACATAAAGAATTAATCATAATCAATAATATGCTAAATGTGCTAGGATTAATGCAAAAGTCGTAGACACAATAAGAAACAATGTTGGTGTTCATTGGTGTTGTGTGCAATGTAGAAAACTCGCTGCAGACTTTTACAATTTTGTAAATGATTTGCAGTCGGAATTTAAAAAATAATTTTTCGATGAAAAAATAATTTTTCTCACTATTACTGTGAGAAATACCAAGAACTTGGTGTCGTCACCGTCAGTTTCCTGTCAGAGAAGCAAAAGGGCTGCGAAAAAGGCACCAACTAAGGGAATGCTAGTCGCAAAACCATAGTTTGTGGGCAGAACGCTGTTTCAGTTAATATCACTGATACAACTAAGACTGGGCGTGAACAGTCGTATGCGAGTATTGTAACACACCCAGTTCCGGTAATTAACAACGATATAAGTAAAGGTGTAATTAATCCTGAGATTATGAGTATTCCTGTCATGAAAATGTTTTCTGGTTTGCTCAGATACAACGCCCAATGACCTAAGTTATTATATAAAATCAAAAATTGGGGGATATTGCTTTTTGAGATGTTATAAGCTCTGATAGATAGTAGATCTTCTTTAAAAATTGTTGTGCCTGAAAATATTTTTGTACCGTTTATTTTAAGCGAATTTTGGCCTTTTACGGCATTCAATAAAGAACTTATGAAGATATCCAATATTTAGCTCATTTGCCTCTAAAAGCAGATACAGTGCCAAAATAATAAATAATTCATTTTCTATTTGTATAGAAACTTGGTTAAAAACATCTATATTAAATAGTGGAATTTTATGTTCAAAATATTAAATATTCAGAAAAGATCGTTTTTGTAAAAGAGGTGGTGGCGTCGTTATTGCAGTTGATGCCAAATATACCACTAATTTAATGGATCTAAATGGTTTTCTTGATATAGAGTTTATTGGTGTTTCCAATGAATTGGGCAAATTTAAATTGTTTGTAACTTGCGCTTATATTCCACCATCATCTTCACTTGACATTTATAATCAGCATTTATCAGCAATACATTTAATCACTGAAAAAAAATGAAAGATTCTGACTGCATTCTAATTCTTGGTGATTTCAAAATGCCTTCCAGTAAGTGTCTTCCAATGTCAGATTCTGGTTTGATTCCTTAGTCATCCGAAATGTACAGTACCCACTATACATTTGAAGTAATAAATTGTTTTTATGACATAAATCTTCATCAAATAAACAGAGTGAAAAATTCCCACGGCAAAATTCTTGATTTCGCGTTTGTAATTATAACACAGCATTTTGAAATATTCAGAATTTCTCCAATATGCACTCCTGAAGATATGTACAATCAAACTTTATGTATCTCCATGACTCACAGTAACGTAATTGGAGAAAGTCAGTTCGATTCATTTAAAACTGTCCTTAATTATAAACAAACTAATGTTCAAAAACTTTACCCTCATTTCCTCCGTAAATTTGGCCTCTGTGTGTCTGTGTAATAGCCATAAGATCTGTAATATGTAATTGATAGATTTTGTGGTATTTTAAATAGATTTTAACTGGAATGTGTTCCAATTGTTAGAGTAAAAGTTCCAATAAATATCCATGGATAACACCTGAGTTATCAAGTTTAAAAAATTCTAAAAATAAGCTTTTTCGTAAATATAAAATACTAGCTGAACCGGTTGTCTTTGCCGGCCCGTAGTTTTAGTCTTTAATGCCCATTTTTTAAAGCATTTCACAAATTTTTCTCATATAAGCGGCAGAATTTTCTTTATATATAATGTTCACGTACCGGTCGATTTAAAGTGTTTCAAAAAACATGATCCTCTTTTTCCATTCAAGAGCACGACTCAGTTTTTATACCCTCCATCATTCTGTGGAGGAGAAAATTAAATTTGTAATTCCGTTTGTTACTCCTCGAAATACTCATGTTAGACCCTGCAAAGTATATATATTTTGGATCAGCGTAAAATTCTAGGTGACGTCCGCCTGTCTGCTACAATCATACTATTTTGGAACGACTTGAGATGGATGGCTAGCATTTTTGACGCATGTGTATTTTGCCAGGATATACGTTACGTTTGTAATATGGGTCATGTCAGTCCATGCTTTCG